GCTGAGGGCAAGCAGAGTTTGTCTTCCCAATGTTCCTGTGCAGGAAGGGGAACACAGTATCACAGTAGCAGGCTTTGCTTTGTTTTGTGTGGGGCTTTTTTCCCCCCAAAATGGTTTTACTCCAGAAACACTTGAAATATTTTGTCCCTGTCCTCAGGGCAGCGGATACGCTTGAGGGAACTGTGGGAGTGGCAGCTTTGTCAGCCTCTGGTGTTGGCAGGACATAAAGAGTGAACTGCACCAACCCAGGTCCTCACAGCTACAGTATCTGAGATATTCATCACAGGGAGTGCCAGAGGCATGAAGCCAACACGAGGAGGTCTCAGGCCATTGTCCCCAACAAATTATAATTGAAAGTTAAGTACTAATCAATGAAGTCTTTACCACTTTTAGAGGCATGATTTTAAGTTATTTTCTACTTTTTTTTTTCTAACAGGTGAATGGGAAAAACTTGACTCTACAGTCATTTAAGTTCAAAAGTATTTTGGAACAGTGTAAGAGTGCTACTTTTGGAACAGTGAAAGAATGCTGTTAGCTATTTCTTAGTTTGTGTTCACTTTCATCTACACACACTGTTTAAGCCAGAAATTACATACTCCCTATCACCTATGGTCACTGTGTGTCTGCATATTGCAACCAAGCATAATTTACAATGTTAAATGGAATTTTACATTTAAATATCTGTAGGCAGCTACCCGAGGACAGCAGAGATGGTTCCAACTGAATGGCAGCCTTAACAGGCTATTTGGTAGCAATTTTTTCTGGTTGTGTGTGAGGTATCTCATCTACTTGAAAGGTACAAAGAAAAGAAGTTTTCTTGATTCTGGTGACCAAAAGGAAAGCAGATAGTGTGGATTTCTACTAAAACAAATAAGGTGGATTATTTAGTGTATGGTAGCAAAATCACCCTGGGCTTCTTTTAGGTACTGTTGGGGGAAGGAGCTGAAGTGTACAAAATGCATGAAGAAAAGCAGCTGGAAAGGCACACAGCATTAAATACCAGAAGGTTCTAAAGCTGGGACATAGGATGAGGGATAAGCTGGTCATGATTTTTTTTATGAATACTTCTCAGCCAAAAAAAATTTTATTTACCACAATTGGAACATTCTCAGAATATGTATCTGTTTTACTGTCAGTTTCTTTGGAAAGCATCTTGGCAAAAGAGACAACCAGCTGGCCGTGTGGTGCCTGCCAGCTCCTCACACAACTAGACAGGAGCCCCTGGTGGGTGCCATAAGCTTAGCCCGGGGAAGCTGCACTCAATGTGATCCTCTGCTCCCTGGCTACATTACCTGAAAGACAAGGATGAGAAACGGGAAGAAAAAATGGGAGTTTGTTTTCTTCTACTTAGCATGTTAATGCCAGTTAGGCTGTGCTTTTAGTTTATTTTTAAAAAGTGGAATGGCAATGGAATTACCTTGTATAAGGTAAGCAGCACTAACAGAAAATAGTGTTACCTTGAGACAGTCTATACCAAAAAAAAAACCCTGGCTTGTCAGACTTTCCTACTGAAATTTTGCAGCCTATTGGATTGTAGATGGAAACTGAGGTTGCCCTGGCAAGTCATAGTGAATGTCTCAGTCTAAAGGATAAAAGATAACCCAGATGATTTCAAGAGCCTTATTTTATGTAATTCTGATACAGCATTTATGAGACAATAAATGTTATATTCATCATACATAAATGATTCAATCATTAATATTTTAAAACAATTACTTGAAGGCCGGGCTTATAAAATAGTTTGAAAGTTAAAGTAAAGATTATTTTAATAGTGTCATATTAAAATGGTTTATCTTAAAATCATTCAAAATTTGAATGAGACAGGAAATCAAATTTCAGAGCTCAAAGACAAAACCCACCAGCTCAGCTGTTGTGTCAGATTGCTATATCTGTAAAGCCTGTATCTTTGCATTCCACTAAGAGCAATGGAAACTTACAGGCACAAGCTTCCGAAGCTGGAAATGACTTATACACCCACAGGGACTAGGGGTAATCAAATGCTATGTTTTGGTCTGACTCTTTATAAAGATATGTAGCTATTTACCCAAGAAATATGCAAGGCTGCTAAAATAATATACAGTGAGTATATTGCAGGAAGTGGAATGTTTTCTTAGCAATCTGCATAAAAGCATCAAAATATTCTGTAATTGATATACCTAAAAATTCCTAGAGTAATTAAACTGTAGATAAGATAGTTATAACACTTTAAAGAATATACTTTCTCAATTTGCATAATATCTGGCTTACATAAATTCCTTTGACATTTCAAAAATCTTTGAGAAGTGTACATGATGCTGGAAACGAAACTGTATTTCAATTCTGAGAAATTGTTACTGGATACTAAATATGGCCACGACAATCTCTGCTCTCCTGTACAACAGCAGTTTCTGACAAATGATGTTGTTCTAAACCAATTATAACTATTAAATGGAAAAAAAACCCACATTAATTACAGGCATCATTATCTCACTACAGCTGGGCTTGCAGTTCTTCACAAAGCTCTTCCATGTAAAATAATTATCATATTACGTACTGTGGATTCAGTCACTTCTCATAGTCCCCAAGCAAATACTTTTTTTCTTGGTCTGGAGTCCTGACTTCAATGCAGTTGTAGATGGATGCTTTTGATTAACTGTGTTCACATCATCATTGGATGTCTCCTTAAATTAAAAAGTTGCTGAATCATAAGTATTTAGACTAAGTGACTGAAATTTCTTCCAGGAAAGCTGAAGGTAATATCTTTATCCTGTCTTCTCAGAGAGAATGAGTTCAGCTAAGAATGTTGCTGCAAATACGGGGAACTGAAAACAACAATATTTTGAGTAAATATTTTTAATAACTTTTGTCAGTATGTGCATTTCTTGAGAATTTCTTGAGCTTCATTTAGTAAAGATATAAAGATATTTATATTCAGTAAACATAAATGCTACAGAGAAAAGCTCATTGATGTCAGCTGTTTTAATTTATTACCGCTTGACAGAAAGATTATGAACATATATTACAAAAAAATCCCATTTGACAGCAGTGATGAATTTTTTCTGTCTCTTCCATCAGAGAAAGGTAAGTTTCTGTCTGACATTATCAGTTATCAAGTTTGAGTTACTAGGGAGCACTGCAGTCCCTTATCTTCATAAAGAAGATGCTTCTTAGAAGTCGGAAAAATGAAATTCTGTTTTGGATTTCATTAATAAGAACTTAGAGGTGATTTGCCAGAATTAATGTAATATGTACAGTTGTGAAATCTTAATTATATATTTATCATACTATCAGTCTTGATAGAGGCTGTTTTGAGGACTTACTATTTTTTCACTTTGATCATGATTTTTAGAAGTGACAAGTGATTTTGTTCATTTACTTCAGGGATTTTATAAGGCAGATGCAGAAAATCTTAAGCAGAAATTTTAAATTTAGGGTTGCAGTTCTGTTATCCACAGCCATATACTTCATCCACATTCTGTTGCTGGGGAGAGGATAGGGTAGTAGTGAGGGGGGGAAAAAACAACTGTGAAAACCAAAAAGGCTGACCTTCATGTCAATTAAAATTTAATGTTCTCATTTTAATTGCAACCACGTTGAGCTATGGCTGAAATTAGGTTAAGTCACTGTCTTTCCTGGGCTTCTTCCCACCACTCAGAAGAGGTAACTCAGAATTGCCTTTCCCCTTCCCTCCCCTGGCCTGACCTTCCCTTGCCTTCCCTTCTCTGACCATTAAAGCACTGCCCCTGGATGCTGGAAGCACAGGGAAGCGCCAGGGCGCGCACAGTGTTGGCAGCTGTGAGCATGGCTTGTGATCTGGTTGTTGTGATGTTGGTGGGGATGACAGGGCAGGCGCCTCTTGTGCAGGCAGATTGCCAAGGAAAAGGCCCCATCTATTCCCACTTTCTTCACGGGCTCACCTCAGTATTGCATAGGTGAAAACAGGAAAGGCTGAAGAAATTCATATGGAGAGATAACCCATGCATTTTATATTATATAAGGAAAGTTTTCTTATATTGAGACTGTTTTCCACAAGCAATTATTTTGCTAATGAAAAAATGACAGGATTAAGCAAGTTCTTGTTTTACTGTCAAATTAGTGGTGGCAGTGATGTTTTGAACATATCCAGTGCATTGAACATTTCAACTCTAATGTGAAGAGATTCAGGTGTAACAGAAGTGGAATTGACCTGTGATGTTGGCGGGAGGGTGGAAATTAATTTGTGAAAGTTCCAAAGTACCACAGTGCAATAGTGGTACATTACTCTGCCCCGTTTTGGAACAGAGATTGTCCTCTGCCCTTGGCAGTGCTAAGGTGATGAGCAAGGGCTTACTTAGCTCCCTTGCATAGTCAGGAAATCAGCTGTGCCATGGACAGACCTCTTTACCCAGGCAAAGTTTATCAGCTTGCTTAAAAAGTCACACAAGGGCAAGATGAACACAATCAACCCGGAGAGTAAATGGAAGTTAATGAAAAAAGAGCTAATACAAAAATCTGAGATCTGTATCTCTGTTCATTCATGTCTTACCATCTTTTATTCACACAGTCTTTTCAGTGGTTCCAAAACTCCTGCACTTCATTCTTCTACTTTGTGTGCTGGTCCAATATTATTCCTTTTCTTATCATCTAGTGATCATAATTTGTGTATTATTTGTCTTTTTGCTTTTGGTTATAATACCAAATTTGTTCAGTGAAGGCAGGTAAAAGTGTTTGAGCTGCTACAAATAGAAGCCATTATAAAAACCTTGTAAGAATGATAATGAACTGGAGGAGGTTTGCATTTTCTTTTTTCTTCTTTTTCTAAGTAGCTTTTAGGTGTGTTGAACTTGATAAAGAGGAGATCCTGTTTGGCGGGTACTCTGCTGTTACAATTTCTGCAGGCTGTGGGAATGAGGGAGGGCATTGCAATTCTATATATAAAGCATCCAAGCTTGAAGAGGGCAGCCTAGAAAGTGGCAGCATTAGCACTGCCCTCTTGGAACGGAGGGGAGCGCTGAGAACACTGCCCAGGCAGGGCGTGCATCATGCTCCCAACACTGGTACTGCTCATCTTCTGCAGTTTCCTGCACTCTGCCGGTAAGTCCAAGGTGCCTGGGCTCCTCTTGGTCCATGGCTTGAAGAAAAATTGTAGAATGGCATCACTTGAGGTTCAGGTTTTGTTCTCATTTCCCACAAACAGCAGAATTCAGTTTACACATTTTCTTCTCTTTTGCTTCATCTTAAAACACAACAGGTTATTTAATAAATACATGGCTGAAATAAAATAATTAATTCTTCACTATTTTAGAAAGTTGATGACTGTTTTGTTGGATTCTTCCCTAAAACTCATTCCCTAGTTACAGGGAATATTTTTAATGGACTTCTGTTGTATTTCCCAGTTGCCAAGTGCATTCATCTTTCAGATGTTCATGATCTGGTGTCCTAGTGATGTCATTGCAGATATATATTGTATATCTTCTGTGTAGAGTGATAATCAAAATAATTTTTCTTTGTTATGTGAACTGCAAAAAGCATTAAGTATGAGCTATGTGATGACATTTCTTTTTTGAAGAATGATGTGATAGAAAGAATCCTGTGCTGGAAAACAAGCAAATGGTTCTAGTCTAAAAATTTTACATGATTCTCAACGTATTCCTCCATATATTATTCAATACAATCCTTCAGTCTTTCTAAGAAGTCTGTCTTACTTTTTTGATCCAACCCACCTGTATACCAGATGAATGTGTAATTTCTGAAAGAAGATTTCATAGGTAAGTTCATTGGCTCTGTAGCTACTCAACTGCCTTACTCATTATTCCTCCTGTCCTTTTATCAGTGGATTTTTTGAGGATAAGTCTTTTTTGCCATGGTTTGGCACAGCTTCAGATTTTTTTTTTTATCTCTTCTATGTATTCTCTTTAATAACCAATTATTACAGTTAGAATTTCAAGAAAATATTTCAAGCTGCTAAAAAGCATACTTCACTTGCTTTAGGTGAAACAAAGTTAAATTTATTTCTTCTGTGTTGTGTTTACAACATTTAATGAATCATGTAGTTCAAATTGCATGGGGACATTTATTGCTCTTAAATCACCGACTTAAACTGTAGCATGAAAATAATTAAAATATAAGCAACTCAATCCTTTAGTAGACTCTCAGAGCCAATTTCTAACCTCAGCTGTATTGTTATAAATCAGGTGTAACTTCATTCACTGTATCAGCACCATTGCAACCAATATCAAGTCAAGTACCTGAACGTGGGTCCTAACCCCAAGTTTTGCTGCCTGCAAGAGCAAAATCTTCATCTGCATGACTTCCTCTTTTAGATAATAGATGTATTGATATAAATACTTGCAATCAAATGGAAAATTGCTGTAGAGACTTACACAGACACAAGCTTTATATGTAAACTTGGCAATCCCAAATCAGAATTTTTTCTACAAAGGACTAAGTTGAATTTAAAGATAAAAACCCTAGAAGCAGGATCTGGAAAATTCTTACAGAGCAGTTTTCTTCTTTGGGATGTGTCAATATTTCAGGTCCTTGGAATGCCTCACAAGATTGGAGACTGTGAAAACAGATTTCATTCTGTCAAGGAAACATTTGAAATCAGGCAATTTTTGGATGTTGATTTGTACATTCTTAAATTGAGCAACATGCAGGGTGCTCATTATTTTGATTCTAGATCCAAGTGCTGTATCCTTAGAATGAGTCAGACCAAAGCTAGGATTTAATTCTCTTCTTCATGGATCTGCATCCAAATTCTGTACCTTGAGTCTGTCTCTAGGTAGAAATGTAAATATTGATTGTAAGGACATATATTTGATTATTTGATGTGAAATCTGATGGAAAGTGATAACAAGAAAATCAGTAAACATGCTTGAGTAAAAAAAAATCTGAAGAAGCTTGAAACCTGATGGAAACTGTTAATTCTAGCCTTTTCTTAATAAGAGGTGCTGATTCATTGGTTAAATCAAGGCTTCACCCCTTTAGCTATTTCAATAATCAAAACTGCATGGATCCTTTTGAGATGCTTGTGTACAGTTGTACTTTTTCTTATGAAGTATGTAACTACATACTTTTGATTTATGCTGTTCACATATCTATGTTTGCAAGAAACAAAGGGAGGTAAAAATTTCATACTGAAGAGAAATCATCATGTGCAACTGATAACTCATGTTACAGCTACAGCTTTACCAGTACCCTCAGTGTTAAGTTTAATTTTAGGCTTTTATCATTTGTTTTAAAGCTCTTGTCCTTTCCAGAACATCTGACATTTCAACATTTCTGTTTGTCTCCAATTAGAAGAGAAAAACTGAACTCTTTACAAAACAGAGATTTTAAATTATTTCTGCAAGTTGGAAGTACAAAGATTTCATTTCAATGTTTTGTTTTAATTTGTTTATCTGATGTGAAATACTTTGACTGAAGCCATTACAACATAAAATTGTATTTTCCCATAGGGATGTTTAATAGTAACCAGAGTATAGGAACACAATTACTTATTTCTTCATAGTAAATCATGTTCCCTGGTTTGTACTGCTGCCATGAACTAGACAGGCTGACCACACAGTCACTGCACTTCAATAGATATCGTTCTCAAGGAAGTTGGCCAGCTGGAGAAGAGTGGGAATTGGAAGTAAAACCTTCCTTTATCCAAGAAAAGCGAAACTCTGGTTAAAGTTCTACTGAGGTAATTCAAAATAAGTATTTCTGTTGAGATAATTCAAAATAATTATTTAATGTTATTTCTCAAAGGAAAACAGAATACTTGCAGTAATAGTAAAATGTCAGAAGAGAAGATTTCAGTACTTTAGAAATTTCATTTGACATTAGGACAGACTTTTAAATGAAAAAATCTTAAATGATTGCAAAATACAACTTCTGCATAGCCATAGTACTTGCTACTTTAGAGTTAAGTGTGAGAAAAAGAATGTACATACTGAGAATAATTACAGTACTGTAATTAGTATAATAGTTTGATCTGACAGGATACTGATTGGCAGATAGTCAGCAAATGGCTCTGTATTTGTTTTATTAGCTAGTCTTTGGGCAAAAAGTTAAAGTGGATTTCATATCCATAGTTATTTTCAATCTAACCCTTCTACACCTCCATAAAATCCAGGATGATTATTATGCTCAAATTTAATCTAAAAACCAAACCTAAATTTTGTTTGCTGTGCTTAGATGCTTGAGTTTTAAAAGCTACCAAATGAGCTTTGTATACTGATTTGTCTGTTCTAATCGAAAATATTTGTCCATTAGACATTTTGCTTTACTTCAAGTCATGTAAACATGACTTGAAGTAATGTTTTAGGCATATTTTCAGTTCCTGAAAATCTAGTATCCTTTGAAGGCAGCTGTTACACACTTCTAAATCCCATTCATGTAGTGTTTGAAGTTTAGGATTAAGCTGTAACGATTGGAAAACTGTAAAGCCAACAATAACAGATTATTGAACAAATGGAGGTAGCAAAATCCAGGCATTCAAAAAAGGCAGCAGGAACTCTGGGCATGAAGAGTGTTAGCTGGAAAGCCACAAACTGACCGTTCCTTTTTGTGGTGTACTTACTGTGATGCACAGATCATTAGGAACTTGGAAGGAGCATGCTGGATTTTGGAAATACCTACTGAGTTGCAGGCCAGCCCTGGAGGTTTTCTAAAACACTGGCAAAATCTCAAACAATTATTGGGCAGTGCTGACCAGTTCTAGACAGCAAGGCAGTGTGAGTAGGATTAAAATGATTTTGTGATGAGTGTGTCAGACAGCTTGGGAGTGGCTGAGATAAATGCCATTTTATGCTATTAGAACAATTATGATGGGAGCACTTCTGTCACTGAATTTGCATCCTTGATTTATTTCCCTTATGCCTAAATATTCATTGTATACAATTCTACCAGTGTATTATTTTAGCTCTTAGAAACTTACATTAGTTTATTCAAATAACATCTTCTTTCTGCAAGTACTGTTTCATAGAAGAATTGAGGTATAGACTGATGTGAATCTTGGAGATGTCTGGATCTGAGATCCAAAGCAAAAGGATGTGCTGAAACACTCAGTTCCAGAATTCCCTCTTGTGCTTTAACCTAGCCTGACATAAAAGGCAGAGCCTCACCTGTTTTCCTGCAGCCCTTGAGGGAGCACATGGCAAATACTACCTCACCTTCAGCAGCACAGCATCGAATTGGCTGAGAGTTTGCTACAGCTGGTGAGCTCCCTGGAGGCTTCCACTCACTGCAGCATCCAAGGAAGCAACAGCACCCTGCAGAGCTGTAGTGTATATATAGATATTTATGTGGATTTGGCCTGGCTTATTTGATGAAAAAACCTTCTGCCACAACATTTTCTATGTTGCAAAAGATCCTAAACATGTAGTAGAGAATTACATGGGTTCTACAAGATACTTGCTCCTGCTATCTAAGAAATAGCAGACATGAGAAATTTAAAAATGAGTAGCACATTATTTGAAGCACCTCAGGTCTTTATTCCTGCATCTTGTTTTTACCATCCAGCTGTTGACTCTGAGAGCTCACTCCAGCAGTGCTGGAGGAAACGCTGGGTGAAAGCCTTTGGGTATGTGTGAGAACGTGGAGCAGTTCTGCTCATGCAGCAGGTCTGTGTTTGACATGGAAAAGGAACCACACTGCACTCAGCATTTGCTCAACACTCCTGGGCTTCTCCTAACCAAACCAGGCTTTGTGGAGAGGTGCGTGGAAGGGAGCAGGTGACAGCTTGCATCATTCTGCCTTAATGTGAACAGAAAAGCAGAAACTATGCCTGGGATTTCCTGCTCTTCCGCTCCACATCCCACGGCTCTTGTGAAGAGCGCACAGGACAATACTTTCCCCATATTTTCACACTTTTGGCTATTCCTTCCATTACTTCTACCCAGATGGTGAAACAAGAACTCAAAATCATGAGGAAAGATTTATCCAACTTCTTTAACAGGAACATGGGATTTGAGTATGAAGTATAGGAGCTCTCATATTACATAGGATTTCTGGCAAATTTTGGAAACATTTGTCTGATGCAGAAGAATTTTCTATTATCTAATTATGTAATTGGAATTATGTGATTTTCCATTATAATTGTCATTATTATTTGCGTAACAGAGCACAATTCCTATGTGCTGACCCTGCTTTAACCTGTAGCATGGTTAAAAGTAAATAAATATACAAATATTCAACTGCTTTTGCTCAGAGGATAACTTCATTGTGTTGTCTTTTTCCTTTCACAGCTTTTGAAGGAAATTATTGGTCCCCCATTCTTCTCCAAAAACAGAAAGAATCTCTGCAAAGAAGTAAGTGTCTGACCTGGTTTTTAATGTTTGCAGTCAAGTGTGAGTGACAACTCTATTCAGTATCAAGTCCATATTGCAGAAGGCACTGTACAAACCACATAATAAAAATAAGTCTTTGCCTCAAGGACCATATGTTTTGAAGCATTAAAATTTAAAAATTCTGAAAGAAGACTTCGCATGTAAAAATATTGTAAAATGCGTTGTCTCACTGTGGTAAGTTTTAAACTAAATGGAAAGTGCTTTAGTGTGCCATGCTGAGGTTTTGATGCCTAAGGATAGAAACTGTGAGCAGTTTAATAGCCTTCCATATTTAGAAATATGCTATTGGGGTAATTTGTGTGATATGTTTGATTTTCATTCCTACGTATTACTGCCTAATACTATCTAAAAATTTGGGATAAGGATTCTTTTGATATTGCAAAATCCAGGAAACTAAATAAAGCTCATTCTCCATATAGATTAGGTCTGTGAATGATTTTAAAGATTTCAGGTTAAAACAAACTTATATGCAAATGGGCAATCAGAGTGTGGAATACTTCTTTCTCACCTTTATAGCCAGCAGCCAGAGAGGGGTCAGAGCAGGACAGATCTCTGCTGCAGTGTTCAGTTGTGCCAGCTGCTGCCACTCTTCTGGTAATTTACCAGCAGTTTTCCCTTAACTCCAAAGAATGGCTTGTGTGCATCCATCCAAATCTGTATGCAAAATTAACTCCAGCCACCTACTTACTGTAAATTTGTGCTAGTCCTTCTGAGTCTGAGAAATACAAATAGTGAGGTACTGCTATCTTACTTGTGTAAAACAATGTGCAATGCCAAAACAAACCAAAAAAAAAGCATAGCTTTAAAATATATAAAATATTAGATATCAGAAGTATGGTTGGAAAGGCAGGTATCCTTAAAACGTTAACTCAAAATTTAATGGTAAATGTTGACTGCAGTTATTGTGGAATTTTCTGCTACAAAGAAATTTTGGTTCTGTTCAAAATGATGGTGGATAAGGACTTGCAAGACAGAGCACAAGGGAGGGGTAAGCAGAAAAATCTCAATAGCCTCACATAATTCCCTAAACTGAAAATAACTGGAGACTGAGAGAATGTCTCTGGAAGTATATATGCCTGATCTGATGGTAGTCTTCCCTTGGGCAGGCTATTAATGGTCACTGCTGGAAATAAAATGCAGAGCTACAGCAGCCTTTAGGCAGAACCAACACATTTTTTCACATGTCCTTTTTGAAGAAATGTGAGGCACTGACTTCTAAATTTGAAGTTAATTCAATAGTCATCTAGTTTTCCATGTCCATGGCAAGAAGGAATGAATGTCATGATGCTAACATGATATATGTTACGGGGTATGATGTTACTCTGCTACAGGAATACAGAAGCCTATGGCCCTTCTGAAAGCATAAGATTTTCACAAGACCCTTTCTAAAATAAGTAAAAATATCAGTCCTAATATTCTGATTTTTTTTTCTATCTTATTCTGTTTACAGACAATCTTCCTAGTAATTCATAATTTTAATGTTTTACACTAAAATATTGTGCTTTACTTCTGCATACCATTCGAAAGCAATCCTCTGTACTCCAAAGCTTTTTGCATGTCAGTGGTTGAATGAAATTCTTTATCCAGTTTGGGGAAAATGGGAGGTGTAGAACAAAAATAATTATATAAAATAAAAGTGTACTGGAATAATAATTTCTTTAGGTAGAAGAAACAGAGTGCCTTGAATTAGAATTCTTATTCAGTATAAGCATGGAAAAGCTACATGAAGTTCATCCTTAAAGTAAAAAATAGTTGAAAGACTTTTAATCTGACAAAAAATTCTCAAATATTCAGGAACTCATTGCTGTCTGCTGTCTGCTCTTACAACAAGAGAAATAGTAGAGCATGGATATAGACTAATTAAAAGAAAATCCCTAGATATTATTTAGTAAAAGCTGAACTCAAAAGACAAACACATTATCTGGATTTAAACTTCCTTGAGTTATTGACATTCCCATTTGTTGTTTTTCTTTGATAAGATTTAAATAAAAACAAATACAGTGACCGTGCTCCTGTATTTATTGAAAGGGGCACCTCTTGCACTCTGACCATTGTGCAGCCCTTGGCAATCATTCCTTGGCACACTCTGGGGTTTGGTGGTCAGTGTCATTCAGGCACAGTATATTAAACTAGCTGGACTTGGGCATGAAGGATCAATGATAACACTCAGCCAATTCCTATTTTCTAGTCAGACCTTCAGGACAGAACAGAAGTGTGGAGGAGGAGTACTTTTTGCCAACAGGTAACCGCTCATTGGGAAGCAGTATTTTCTGCATGACCTGGATAAAACCAGTAGCATTCTGCAATTACTTGCTCTCTCCTTTACAGTTAAAAGAGATGTTTTGGCTTTAAAACAATAAATGTAAATTGCATGTAGACTTTGATAAACTTATCTGATACTTTGTAACTCTAAGATATATGCTAAGATATCTGAGCTTCGTATGATACCATAAGCAAAAATAATTAAAAAATGAAAGCAACAATCTAAGTGTGGAAATACAAAACTGAGGACATGATTTTAGGTACTTCAATAAAATTATCAGCTTCAGAGGGACTGTTCAAATGGTGTAAGTAGATGCAGAACTATTTAACAGCAAGTGCTGGGGTTGTATCTCTTCTTTTTGGTCTCATTTCCACATCTGAAAATCTGTCTATTCAGATGAACATTCCAGACTTCTTAAAAGTCTGAATATTCTTTACTTCTTAAAAATTAAAACTTTTTAAAATAATCCATATATTTGTAAAAATGGCTGGAACTTTGTCACATGAATACACAGCTGAGAGAGTGTGGAATTACAAGTTGGGCTTTGAAGACTGTCTTTGGCTATCTGGTGATTGACTGTGCAGTTAATCATGATACAGTAATGCCATAGCTTGGTAAATGCTGTGCCTGTGATCTTACAGCTCTGTCCGGTAGCAAACTGCCACCTTTGCAAACTTAGTCAGATTTCTTCTTATTTCAGTAAAATCTTTTTATTACCCATAGGAGTTGAAAGGGCTATTACCAAGCTAGGAAGTTAGGGAATTCTCCTCTGCTTAAAGTAAATGAGAATATTGCTCTCACTCCTAATATTGTTTCACTTCCTGATTTGAGATAAAATTTTGATATTACAAAAGAAAAAAAAACCAAACAGAGAGCTAGAATGTTGTTTACAGAATTTATCTGAGCAGAAGCTTAATAGCTTGTCCTAGTATTTATATTTGAAATGCTAATCAGAATGAGCAAATATGCTAAATTCTTGTTTCTTTTCTCTTTTATAGTTTTGAGCAAGGATTCCTGTTCTACCTGGGGAGGAGGGCATTTTTCAACCTTTGATAAATACCAGTATGACTTCACTGGGACTTGTAACTACATCTTTGCAACTGTTTGTGATGAGACCAGCCCAGACTTCAACATTCAGTTCCGTCGTGGGCTGGACAAAAAAATTGCAAGGATCATTATTGAGCTTGGACCTTCTGTTGTCATTGTTGAGAAAGGCAGCATTTCTGTCAGGAGTGTTGGGTAAGATTCTGCCATGACTGGGGCATGAAGTGTTTAGAGAAGGCAGGGAGTTAGATATAACAGGTGCAGGGAGTCATATAGCAGGTGCACTGACAACTGGTTTGTGTCAGAAATGAATTAACATATTACTAAAGGTAACACACCTAACTGGACTCTACTCCCATTGCTCCCCATTGAGCACTCACACTCCACAACATTCTCTTTATGGGTTTCTCTGATCTTGTCAGTTTGCAGTCATAATTCTTATATTAAAACACCACAGACTCTCCTTGGGATAATCAATGTTAGTTTCACTACACCAACTTCATGGTTCTGGAAACATATTAACGCATATAACTCTGCTCTCATGAAACCAAACTGACTGAAGATGCCGAGTCCTGCAGATATTGTCAGTAGTAGAATCACTATGCATTTTTTGTGATCCTGCTATGAAACTGATCATGTGGATTTTCAATCAACAGAAACTTTCATGTGTTTTGAAATGTCACAGTTAAAAAGGAAAAAAATTCTGTTTCATGTTGCTGCAAGTACTCAGACTGGGTGTATATCATATCCAAAATAAATAACTAATACCTGCATAATCTTGCTACAAGGTTGGTTTCTCACCTTATTTCAGTGTCGTTCAGTTGCCTTACACCAGCAATGGAGTCCAAATAGCGCCTTATGGACGCAACATCCGCCTGGTAGCCAAGCTGATGGAGATGGAACTGGTGGTCATGTGGAACAATGATGACTACCTCATGGTTAGTAAAATGTTCTCATAGAGCAGAGAAGAAAATTCTCAATGATTTACTGGAATGGCAAGGACTCTCTGAATTTAATGGATGCTTTTGCATGTATTTAATATTTTGATATTTAATCTTTTCCTGTTTTATCCATTTCTCTTGAAATAAACAGCTTTGCATATTACTTTCACTTGCAGCATTGGTAGTTAGCTAAAGCCATGAGTGCTGAGATTTGTGGATCACATATTTTAATCTTTCCTTAGGGTGTTCCAGCAGCTGCAATCTTTTTCTTAAGATATGTTTTTTTAAGTTGTGTAGAACTTAATACTGTATGCCATAGTTTAGTCTTTGTTATTGGGCTTCCCTGGGACTTCTTTTTGTTTCAGATATTGAGTTCTTCTAGCAGTTTATTTTTTCTTCCCTATTTCGGAATCTTTTCAGGTTTTCCCTTCAAAATCCCTAATACATTTTCTCAGTGTGACCTGTGATGATATTGCCACAAAAGACACTGAATTCTAAGTTGTTTGATAAAACAAGGAGATGTAATAAATTGTCTGGGAGATTTATCAACATTATTATCACATATATAAGAGAAAATGCTACTCTGATGGGTAAATCTGACTATACAAAGAATATTATTTTATTTCTCTGATCTAAGATTTTCATAATAATTCATTGTAGCCAGTAGTAGTATTGCCATTTTAGTTTCCAGAATTAATAGAGAACTGAGTAACCTTCTTCTGAAAATAGATTTTCTTACTGTAACGTTAAATTTCTTAAGAAACCTGAAATTCATACTCTGTCAACAAAGATATTAGTAAGGCTTCAGCATTATTTTCTTTTTTCCTGGCTCCTTAGAATGTTATCCCCCCTCAATTCGCTGTGTCTTCAAGTCTTACCCTTTTTATTAAATACTAATTTTTTTAAAAAAATCATTATTTGCCTATTGGGAAAAGACTTCACTGCTTAAAAAATTCTTCTTCCAAAACACTCACTGAAATTAATGAGAAGAATCACTTTTAATTGGGTGCTTGAACTGAATGTGTTTGAGGAAGTTATTGCTGTATAAATAATTTTACTTAGGGTGATCCTTTAAAATTTTTTATTGTATTTTATTTTAGGTTTTGGCTGAAAAAAAATACATGGGGAAAACATGTGGAATGTGTGGGAACTATGATGGTTATGAATTGAATGAATTTGTCCGTGAAGGTAAGAGACAAGGGCATTTCAGAAAGGAGGAGAACGAGTTAAAGTGAATCAAGGTGAAAATTGAATACTGTGATAGCATTGCTGTGTTTCAGAATTGAGTAAAGCAGTCCCATGGGGCACCAACATACCTCATATGCTTATGCTACACTCTGTTATCTGCCATGAGCATAATATAATGGGTTCCTCACACAAGTGATAAAGACTCTTATCTTTTAGAAACAGGTGGTAAGGATCACACTCTCCTGACTTCCACAAGTGGCAGTGGTTATCATTGGGAAAATTAACTAGTAGGACATTTAACAGTCAAAGAGTAAAATCTGAGTTTTGCTACATCACAACAACAAGTCAACAAATCAATGCAGTCTTTTTCCTGACAAATTATAACCCTTTATTTTCCAGGTAAATTGCTGGATACATATAAATTTGCTGCATTACAAAAAATGGATGATCCATCAGAAATCTGCCTGTCCGAGGAGATACCAATTTCTGCTGTTCCTCACAAAAAATATGTAAGAAAGATCTTGGCTTCTCTGCAGCATGATTCTTAGCAGGGGGCAAAACAGATAGAAATCAACTACAGAGAGGCAGAGGTTTCATAGAAATTACTTCCATGAAAACGCGTACAGTCAACATCTGTATAGCATGATATGAGAAAGAAAAGGAGTTCTTTGCATAAAAAACACATTTGAAAATAAGGCTAGAGGCGATTTTAAGGGTAGATTTAAATCACTCATAAAAATCAGCCTGCATTTAGCTCAGAACTTTCTGGAATTCCAGGCAGATCATCACAGGAAGTTCACAGAAACTAGTGAAGCTTTAAGAATTTTTTATCTCATACCTGGAGACGTGACACTATAAGCTGTACAGATTTGAAGGTATTCACAATGCCTACGACATATTGCCAGACAGCAGCACTGATAACAGGGACAACCACCATAAACTGCTACCACTTACAGTACTAAATGAAAAGAAAATCAGTGTGCCTGAGAACCTTGGAGACTTTATACTGCAGAAGGCACCATGATAGGCAACACAAACTTACAGGGAACAGAAATGCACCAAGTGTGTGCTCAAAGAAGAATGAATTTTGTCATCTTCATATCTGGGATGTTTTTCATGGAACATGTTGTCTTATGTTTGCCATGAGACAACACATTTCCTGTGTGTAATGTTCTCAGCCATTTTTAGAGGGGCTGGTGGCACAGAAAGTGACTTAATTTTCAACATAATGAGAAGTGGAATTATTTCAATATATCAAGTTCTTTCTATTGTGCAAGGAATTTATATTCCCTTCTACCTATGAATTTCTCATGCATTTTAAGTCAAATATCCATTATAAAACTCTAGGGGGAAAAGCAAACAAACCAACAAGGAAATCATAATTAACAGTGTTGTTCCACTGTAGTTTTCATATGAAGGAAACACCACCGGGAACAATATTATTTTTCTTTTTATTCAGGCCATGATCTGCTCTCAGCTACTTAATTTGGTGTCACCAGCCTGCAGTGTGCCCAAGGATAGGTTTGTCATTCGTTGCCAGCTTGATATGCAGGACTGCAGTGAGCCAGGACAAAACAACTGCACTTGCTCTACACTGTCAGAGTATTCCAGGCAATGTGCCATGTCCCACCAAATAGTGTTCAACTGGAGAACTGAAAACTTCTGCTGTAAGTTTAAATGGTTTATTTATGAGAGACTGTGCTTAACTTTTCTGTGCCTTAAATAGAGAAGTAATGATGATAACTGGAGTATTTTAAAAAGTCTCTACTGTCTTTAATCAAACAAATTATTTTCTGCAGAGAGCAGTGTTCTTTGATAAAACTGTAAGGAGAGCAGGGAAACTTCAAAGAAGAAAGAAGCTCAAAACAGAGCTTCTATGTCTAGATCAGTGCAATAAAACAGATAAACATCCACCAAGTGAAAACTGTTAAACTTCTCAAACTTCCTACAGGAGGCTGCTTGCTCTAAGAACAGTTATCTTATTACTGTACTTGGAAAATTAGCCATTGAAGAGAGAGCACTTTTAAATAGCCCCTGAATTCTTGGAACCTTTTTGCTAATAATTGCCATAGCTCCCTTTATTCAAAGATGATTTTCAGTAGTCCGTTTTCAGATATTCAACCTTCTTATTTATAATGACTGATTGGAAGTAAAACCTTGAAGTACTACAGAAAATCTGATTTTTGGTACTTCATTAGGCTGCAGTATGGCCTGTTTGCCATTCTCCAAGCTTCTGAAAAAGTGTTTCCAGTTTTTTGGGCAACAAAAATGAAAGAAAGCCAGAGTAAATATACGATGGTAACAAATACTGAAATGATTAAATGAATATTGAGGCAGGATAAATGAATGTTGGTATCAGAAATCAGAAGGTCTTTTCCTTGCTAGGTATTAGATTAAATATTCTGTTTTTAAAAATCTTAACACTCCCACTGTTTGTTGCAGCTGTGGGAAAATGTTCTGCAAACCAAATCTATGAGGAATGTGGTTCTCCGTGTATTAAAACCTGTTCCAACCCAGAGTACAGCTGTTCCAGTCACTGTACCTATGGCTGCTTTTGTCCAGAAGGTATCATTTCATCATATTCTTAATGGATCACACAAATGTTTTTTGCACATATCCAGTCAAGTGGAATGGACTGCTTAATAATGAACTAGCTGTGCATTTCAAGGCATTGTGCTGCTAGAACTGCTCTTTCTCAGGTAACATAATGTAACTGGAGTCTTGAGTAATTGTGGTCCTTCTAGATGATTGGTCACTCTTCACAAGAACTGAGCTATGAATACATTTTCCTCACTATACCATGGTTTTTGATGGGATAAAGATATGCCATCTGCTTAAAGTTCTTTACTTAAATATACATTGATCAGGCACTGGCAAGAGGTAGCATACCTCAGAGGATTTCTGCAATATTATGGGAATTTTGTAAATCCCTTTAAAAATAATTCAAGATTAACTCATTACAGAAATTGTGATTATTACTATCATTTGTATTTTAAAATAGGACAATTGACTGCGCTTTCATATGACAAAGTAGTCAAAAGCTGTTGTCATTTGTGAATATTCAGTTTCGTTTTAATTAGGAGAAAATTTCCTGCATGTTACATCTCTGAGTATGGGCACTGGCAGTGCAAGAATAGCATTCTCAGGCTAATTTCAGAAAGCACTCAAGCTATAATAACTGTAGTGCCAAGTGAGGATGGGGAAAAATGTTTTATCTTTTTTGGCAGGAACGATTCTTGATGATATCTCGAAGAATCGGACATGTGTTCACATTAGCCAGTGTCCATGTACACTGAATGGGAAAACATATGCTCCTGGTGAGACAATGAAAGCAGCTTGTAGGACCTGGTGAGTAGCAACAGGAACTTTCTTGAGAGAATAAAAAGTACCTTTACCAGACAATTGGAAAATTTTGCCTAACCTTTCAAAGGGCAGCACCTTTCATGTTTCAGGAAAGTTTACTGACAATCCATACAAGAGTTCAGCAACTTTGAATTAAGATGAGCAGCTTCAACTGATACATGTAGACAAAGAAAATCAAAGCATAGAAAACATAAGGAGAAAAGTGATAAAAACAACCTATTTCATTGCTAGGAAGTAGCCGAGCTTTTAGAGCATGAAGAAAAGAATGACCTTGCACAGAATTTCTTGTTTTCCGCAGTAAATGTGTGATGGGTCAGTGGAACTGCAAAGACTTGCCCTGCCCTGGAAGGTGTTCACTGGAAGGAGGCTCCTTTGTTACCACATTTGATTCGAGGCCATATCGATTCCATGGGGTTTGCACTTATGTTCTTATGAAGGTAATTTCAACAGAATATCAAATGGATATATTTTACTCAGTCTTTGGTTTCCTATTGGAACACAAACTGAGGACTTCATAAGATACACATTTATTCTACAAATCATTGTTACACTGACATAGGCTTCTCTTTTTACTTCTCTTTTCCGTTTCCCTCTAGAGTTCCAGCCTGCCACACAATGGAACCCTAATGGCTGTTTATGAAAAGACTGGTTATTCTCATTCTGAGACCTCACTTAGTGCTATAATTTACCAATCTACAAAGGTAGGTATTCCCTCCACAGGTTCCATCCAGCATTTTATCACTAGATTAGCAAAATATGTGCTCAAAGTCATTGCTGGTAGCTTGAACTTAAAAACTATGGACAATAAATACTGAAGACATGTTTCTGCTCATGTATACACAGTAAAGATCTCAGCTGCTACATCAACTCAGGAAGGTATTTTCAAAGGGAAAGCTAAAGGCAGCATGTTATAGTGTGAGAAAATGCTTGAATTAATTTTTTCTTTTACAGAGATCATCGACAGTATAGTTGCTTAACTTAACATATGAATAGCATCTGTAAAGATAGTTACTTCTGCTTCCATGTCCTCTTCTTATAGGACAAAATTGTGATTTCTCAGAATGATCTCCTTACTGATGATGATGAACTCAAGCGGCTGCCTTACAGATCAGGTAAAAAAAAAGGGGGAATATAAGTTATATCCAAATTAAATGTCTGTTTTTACACAGCCCAGCATCTTTCACAATCCTTCAATTGCTAATACCAGGGGTTTTAGAGGAAGGTTAAAGTCTCTCCTGCTGCATCTGTTCCTCTGTGGAGAGTTGTGTGTGGGAGAAGAGGTGTAGACAGAGTGCTAGAACATTTATATATGTGTTAAAATCGTTACCTTGCAGTATCATCAACATCTCTATTTTTAAACGTGCTTGTTCCTTCAGGAGACATCACCGTTTTCAGACAGTCCTCCATGTACGTTCAGATGCATACAAACTTTGGGCTGGAACTTGCAGTTCAAACATCACCTGTGTTCCAGGCCTATGTGAAAGTTGGATCACAATTCAAAGGCAGAACACTAGGTAAGTAAACAAGTCCCCTTGCAAAGGAGAAAATGTAGAGAGTATAATTTTGATAACGTACTATTAATCTTTTAGGAAATCAATTTTCTTCTTCAGATTCAAAGGGAAAAAAACACACTGGAAACTGAATTGATTTTTCGCTAATAACTTTAAAATGAATCAAAGAAGCTAGAGGTGTCACATTTTTCATGCATAACACAATGCTGTTCTGTATTTTATGTGTGCTTTTTTCAATATATGCTATACTGCACAATGAAGGAGCAACAAATAAGTCTCTGTGGTCTCTGCATCTTGGAGCACAAAGTTCTTTGAACGTAGTGCACGACCACTGTAAACACAATGAGCCTAAGAATCTAAAAGCTTTTGAGCTGGTAATCACCAGATGGAGGTGTTTATTGCACAGCAACATTAGCCACATAAGCATATTTTGCATTCTGATTATGGGGAATTACAGAGAGGCTTTGGCTTTTAAAAAAGCCTAAATGCATATTCTTTGTCATTATGCATTTAATATACATAAGAAAACATGCAACTTCAAAAGTGTTTCATGGCCTTTTTCTTTTACACTATTTAAAACTACTTTTTTCTAAAAAAAAGACAAAATCTTCTCTATGATTTTGTCATTGGTTAGAAGCTGACACTCTTAACTTGAGGAGGCAGAGGCTCAGTGACTGAATGTGTACATTATCAAGGTTCTTTGGATACTTGACCTGAGTAGTCATTGACACTATGTAGAGCTTTTGAATCAATTGTCTCACTGTTACAGAATGAAACATAGGCCATTGTGCACACATTCTTTAATTTCCGCTGTCCCTTGCATTTCTGATGTTGTCAGGTTTGTGTGGCAATTACAATGGAGACACTACAGATGACTTCATGACTAGCATGGATATCACTGAAGGGACAGCCTCCCTGTTTGTAGATTCCTGGAGGGCAGGAAATTGCCATCCTGCCTTAGAGAGAGAGACTGACCCTTGCGCTTTGAGCCAGCTGAACAGTAAGTAGATGATGCTGTGGTAACGGATCTCTCTGCCTGGCTTTGTCTGACACTTCCATAAGCCCATACCAGGGAAATGGGAGAGCTGCACAGAAACAGACTGAGAGGACTGAACATCACAAATTCCGTCATCAAGAAGCCATTTCTGCTTTCTAGAATACATATTGAGTGAAAGCTCATCAGATTCTGTTCTAGAGATCTGGATTGAGATGATGAATGAGAGTGGTTTGATCTGTCTAGTGAAACTGCAGTGTCTGCGAGTGTCTCACGTTTGCTCAGCAGTACTGAGACTGAAATCCAGGTTTTGTCTTCCCAAATCTCGATTGCTATTGGTCTTTTTAAAAAATGGTGAAAAAGAAAAAAAAAAAGCTCTACTGAGCTGCTTGTAAAAGAATAGTGTCTGAAAGCTAACAAGCTGGGAATTGTTCTATTGTTTAGCACATCATTGCCGAAAGTTCATGTTAAACTCGAAATTTTTTGAAAATTTCCTTCTCCATTTTTCCCCCTAACTTTCCCTTTTTAATGTTTATTGTTTACTTTTATTAGAAATATCTGCTGAGACTCATTGCTCCATTCTGACCAAGAAGGGTACAGTGTTTGAGAAATGCCATGCTGTGGTGAACCCTATTCCTTTCTACAAGGTATGAAGTTGTTATGATGGATTTTGTACAGAGGACGTCCAAATATAAACCAGATTGGACTCATGTGTGGTGTCCCACGCATTGAATCAGCAATGCAGAGAAGCTTAGGAACAGGTGTGGTTTTGAAAATCATGTCTCCACCATACTGAAAGTCTGGTCACAGGCACCAGTCCATCCTTGTGAATCAGATAATATTTTTGCTCATGCTGCAGTTGTCCGTGACAACAACTTTAACTGTACAAAGTGTTGATTTCACCATGTGCATAATTGAGTTTCGTATACTTGCCAATCTACACAAAACAATTTGAATATTAAAAATGAGAAGCAGCAAATAAACAAAGGCATTTTTTAGGGTACTAAGTATATTTTATTTACATCAGCAATGCAATTACTCAGTTATTTTCCATCAGTTTTAGTTATGCAGCAATATGTATCTTGTGTGACTTAGTTCTGTAATTCAGCATAGAATCATATTGTTTGGGAAAGATTTTTGAGATCGAGTCCAACCATAAATACAACAATGCCAAGTCTACCACTACACCATGTCCCTAAATGTCACTTCCACACATCTTTCAAATACCTTCAGGGTTTAGCACTTCCAAATTACTGGTCCCCAGTAACAAAGTACTCTCTGTGTATTGGGTTTCAGAGATGTGTCTACCAAGCCTGTAATTATGAAGAGACCTTTCCTTATATTTGTTCTGCTCTGGGATCATATGCACGAGCATGCAGCTCCATGGGTTTAATCCTTGAGAACTGGAGGAGCAGTATGGACAATTGCAGTGAGTACCTGAACCAACTCTTAGTGGTCTGCCATCAGATGAGTAATGAGGAAATAGTGATCAGAAAGAAGAGCTGCAGTTGTGTAACAAATATCCAACTGTTGGATACCCTTCTAGTGTCTGTCTCAACAGGGCTGTTATTTCAAGACTATATGAAAAAGATTATTCATATGCTTTAAGGTGAGCATGTGGATGCTTCCAGGACTTGATGATTAAGGTACAGAATAGCCAGAAAAATAAAGCTATCCTGTAAAATAAGAAAGAACTAGGGTAAGCTGACTACAGATTTTATCTTATTTTTTTGCAACTCAGACATAGGCACGGATTTCACTGTTACTGAAAAATACATTGATATTTCTGCTGAGATTCCCTTTGCATTATTAAAATCCAAGATTCACAAAAAAAGCTGTAAGGTATTTTACCTGCATGAAACTTCTGAACAGCTGCATAGTTTGCTGTTAAGTCTTGGTCTGCAACATGTTTTGCTAGAGCTCCACATCCACAGGAAGAGAAGCAACAGGAAGCATTAAGCATTGAAACAGTTGACACAAAATAAGCAGCACATAGTAAGCAAAAGGACATTATCTTTCACAAGGAAGATGATCAGTAAATGAAGTTTAACATACACTCTTGTCTTGTTTTATAGCCATTACTTGCACTGGCAATCAAACATTCAGCTACAACACTCAGGCATGTGACAGGACATGTTTGTCACTCTCCAACCGAGCCCTGGAATGCCATCCAACTGATATTCCTATTGAAGGCTGCCAGTGTCCTAAAGGAATGTACCTGAACCACAAGAACGAGTGTGTTCGTAAATCTCATTGTCCCTGCTACTTAGAGGACAGAAAGTACATCCTGCCTGACCAGTCAACAATGACTGGTGGGATCACCTGGTAAGTGTGTCAAGTTTAAAGGTGAACAAACTGAAAATGGAGGTGAGGGGTCTTCATGTCTCTGTCAAGGGTCAACTGCAGTAAGCAGACAAGCACCACACAGCTACTTACTCACTCCAGCAGGGTGTGGAGGAGAAGCAGAAGGACAACAGCAAAAAACCTTATGGGTAGATATATAGACAGTTTACTAAATTTCTTTATTAATAATAAGCAAAAAGCCTATTTAATAAGCAAAGCAGCATGAACAATCAAAGCTAAGTAAGGAATTGATTCAGAACTTCCCATCAGCAGGCAGCCATTCAGACATTTCCAGGAAAGCATGAATTTGCCATGCATAATGGTTTGTTGGGAAGACGAGTGCTGTAACTCAGAACAGCCCTCCTCCTTCCTTCTTTACCTGAGCTTTTATTGCTGAACTTGATGTGGTGTAGTATGGAATCTTGCTTTGGTCAGTGGGGTCAGCTGTCTTGGCTGTGTCCCCTTCCAGCTTTCACTTAGAATGAAAATACTTTGCTTCTCAGCCTCTTCCCTGGCAGGGCAACTTGAGGAGCAAGAGTGCTGGGACACTGTTCAGCACCAGCTAAAACAACATTGTGTTATCAACAATGTTTTGGTCACAAATCCAAAACATAGCACCACTGAGCTTCTACAAAGAAAATTAATTCCATTCCAGCCCAAATCAGTACAGTCTCCTTTATTTTTAATAGCATAAATGTATTTTTCAAGACTTTTTTTGCCCTTTTCTAAACTACAAATATTCCCACCTGAACAGAAAACATTTTACTTACCTTCAGCTTGGAAATTTTACAGAGAAAAATAAAAAATACTAGCTGAGATCTGGTTATTCATATTAGGAGATTTTCTCAACAGCTCATAGTGACAATTGCCTACTGGTGATAATAGGCATTCGTTTTCCAAACTGATGTTACTGTATAATACAAAAAGTGAAGAGACATGTTGACTCATATTCCACTTCAAATGATGGGAAGGAGGTAGTAACATGAGTGAAACGTTTTAATAAAACAATTTTGCAAAAAATCAAAATTTCTTTCTTAGAAGAGATTTTCATTCATTTTTCTTTTTCTTCCTAGCTACTGTGTTAATGGGAGACTAAGTTGCACAGGCAAACCTCAAAATCCTGCAGGTATGAGTCTGATACTGTTTACTTAGAAACATTTTTTGTCCTTTATAAAATTACTACTTTGCTGTTCTCTTCTGTGTTAATTTCTCCTTAATGTTAATTTTTCTTCCTTTTTCCTAGAAAACTGCAAAGCTCCTAAGAAATACATATCATGTTCTGACAATTTAGAAAGCAAGTATGGAGCTGCATGTGCTCCTACCTGTCAGATGCTGGCTACTGGAATTGAATGTGTGAGTTTCACACCTCTGGGATATTTATCCTTTTGAGAGAGATAGAATGTTCTAGTTGTTACTTAGAACTAGACTACATTGCTTCTAGTCAAATTAAAGGAATTATTTTTTCTTACATGATGCAGTTAAATATCAGTCTTTGGACAAAAAAATTGCACACATATTTAAGAAGTGATTAAAGAAATTAATTGCATGAATTAATGAATGAAATTCTATTAGAATAAAAATACATTAAGGATTCTTAACTACATGGCTATAATCTCTGGCTCCATAAGCTGTGACTCCATGTCAACGGAAATATGGGGTTTATGCTTCCTGTTCTATTTTTTCTGAACTCTCTGCTGCTGTTGGTCACAGAATGCAGGAGACCTAGTCTAGGTGAAGGTCTGGGCTGTCCTGATAGGGTTTTCTTACATTAAGGAAACAGATTAATTGGAAGAATTGTAATAAGTTTCCTTGATATGAAGAATATTCTGTTGTACTGTTTCTGAAAGACTGGTAGTGATGGAAGATATATTTTTCAGAGTCTTCAGGTATGTTTGGTATCTCAGACCAAAAGTATATGTTACAGCTTCAGTGAAACTAGTTCAACTGACAGCATATTAATACAAGGAACATCACAAAACTAAAATCAAGCCCAAACAGGACTTAGCACGGGTTCACTCTTGACACCATTCACATCCAGGATAAAATGCATCTCACGTACTTTTCTTTTTGTTTTGCAATCTGTTGGCCTTTCCCAGATACCCACAAAGTGTGAATCAGGCTGTGTCTGTGCTGATGGCCTCTATGAAAATCTCGATGGCAGGTGTGTGCCAGCTGAGGAGTGTCCATGTGAATATGGTGGCCTTGCTTATGGGAGCGATGAACAAATCCAGACGGAATGTGAGATCTGGTAAGCATCACAGAGTATTTCATTGCAGATCCTCTGTTTCACTGAAGTGTACAGTCACATAAAAATAAGTGTATAACCGACTGGAGAGTAGGAAATGGCAACAGCTGTAAAGAAGAAATACTATGACAGAGTACAGGGATTAACAAGAGAGAGAAGCTTAACATTGAACAATATACGTATGGATAAGAGTCATTGCACCAGCTTCATGGACAATTTCTGCCTTTTGTATGTTCAGGAATAAAGGCATCCAGTAAAGCCTGTGACTGTAAATGATACAAAGTCAAGTATTATTAGCAACCCACTTAAGTAAAGATGAGGGCAAAATTTTTCTTCTTTTCTGTATAATATATATATATATTCTTCTTTTCTGTATATATATATATATATATTTTCTTCTTTTCTGTATTGTAAAAGCAATCACACCCAAAAAGATTCCCATCTCTTTAGCAGCATTCTCAGAGTACTTTATTCCCTTTCCAGTTACTAATCTATTATTAAAAAAAACAAACCAAAACACTTCCCAAACTACACAGCGCAGTGACTTCTGATCTCGTTAAGAGCAAAAATAAATGGGTTTTATGTACTATTTCTTTCATGAAAAAAGCACAAAAATTATTTAATGTTTCTTCTTTATTATTATTTCATTTTCTAGGCAGTCCATAAATTTTAATTATGGTTCTTATATTAACTGTAACTTGGTCTCAGTGTCCGTAAGTTAATTGATCGAACATGTTATCAATAAAAGTGAACATATATAAAAATAAGCAGGTGAAGATGGCATTTCTTTGAAATCTGAGTGTGGTTTCTCTTCTCACTCCCAGCACTTGCACAAAAGGCAAATGGAAATGTGTTCAGAAAACAAGGTGCTCCTCCACCTGTAATCTGTATGGAGAAGGCCACATCACCACCTTTGATGGACAGCGTTTTGTGTTTGATGGCAACTGTGAATACATATTAGCTATGGTAACCTGCTTCTGGTTATTTCAGCAGCATCTCAGCATCAAGAAATAGCTGAATTTAAAAGACTAATAAAAATATGCTGGGATGCATCAATAAACAGTACAGCACTTTGAATCTTTATAATCACTTACTAAGTTTATATATATTATTTCAATGTTTAGAATGAAAATATTTCACTTCTAAAAAACCAAAATTTTCATGCAATTATAACCAATTTTCTATTTTTAAAAAATATAATAGTTTAAATAGTCATTGCATTCTGTACCAGATAAATATGTCTTTTAGGGAAGTTACATCGGTTTGACCAACAAAGCAGAAGTCATCACCTCCCAAAACAGAATTACTCATGACATTTTAAGCATCCTGTATTTTCTCATACTTTTATGTTTTAAGTTGGAAGACTTCAGGCACAGTTTATTGAACCTTTGTGTTTCTTGTGGTTTGTTTTGGGTTTTTTTAGGATGGCTGCAGTGTTAACAGACCCATTTCCTCTTTCAAAATTGTCACTGAGAATGTCATCTGTGGGAAATCAGGAGTTACGTGCTCCAGATCCATCAGCATTTACCTTGGGGTAAGCTCTTCTTTCTGCCATTATCCAGCTGAATTGATTTTAAGACCAGGTTTTTCTTCATTTTTTTGGAAGCTTTGGCTGTATCTTAAGAGAAAGGTTTTGTAAGTGAAATTGTGTGCTAATCCTAGAGCCTTGGTTTCAGTAGGAAATGCCATAGCTGTGTGTTTGGGTTTTTTAAATTCTCATGTTGTTTCATTCTCCAAGAATCTTGTCTATTTAGAAGCCAGGAAATTTTGAACTTCACTTTGCAGTGAATTGCTCAATCAAAAAATACTATTTTCCTACTGCAGTATTACAGCAGCTGAACTTCAGCAACAAAAATACTGAAACTTGATAAGTTGTAACTTTCAGATAAATTTTCTTCCAGAATCTGACAATCATACTGAGAGATGAAACCTTCGCTATTTCTGGGGAGAATCCTGATACAAGATACAAAGTGAAAAAGAATGCCCTTCACCTGATGTTTGATATCATTATCCCAGGAAAATACAACATGACCCTTATTTGGAATAAGCACATGAACTTCTTCATCAAGATCTCCAGAGAAACACAGGTATTGCAGAATAACTTCCTTAAAGTGTCCTTCCATTCAGATTGAACTGCACATTTGATCATGGTTGCCTTGAATCTCTGCGATGGCAAAGGTTTTCCAGAAATGCTATCAGCAATTAATTTTTAACATTATCTCCAAAACAGCAGAGATCTTCACAAGAGGCTAACTTCTAAGGGATTTCTGTACTGCATTCAGGAAATTTTTGAGCTAAATGTTTGTAATTTATGCAATTGCACATTTGAATTTGATCTCTAAATGGTGACAGTTTACAGTTTAGAGGAGAAACCCATTCACAAGTATGTTATGAGAGTATTTGTAGATGACATTCTCTCCTAAAGCACAGGAAGCAATCAGTGATCAAAAGGGAAGGTGGGAATTGTAACTTGCTGAACTGATATTGGTGCTTTCATTGAATCTAGGAAACGATCTGTGGTTTGTGTGGTAACTATAACGGCAACATGAAGGATGACTTTGAAACTCGAAGCAAGTACGTGGCATCAAACGAGCTGGAATTTGTCAACTCTTGGAAAGAGAATCCTCTCTGTGGGGATGTGTACTTTGTAGTGGACCCCTGTAGCAAGAACCCTTATCGTAAAGCATGGGCAGAAAAGACATGTTCCATCATCAACAGCCATGTTTTTTCTGCCTGTCACAATAAGGTAAGAATTATTTGCTCTTTTTTTTATTTATAGGCATAATCTGTATTCATTCAAATGCTCACGCTCCAACAGGTGATTTTCTGTTTGGCAAAATGTTTCAATAAAATACATTTTAAAATGTTTATGGCTAACATTTATGTTAATTTTCTTTTTTTTTTTTTAATTTACACTTCACCAGCCCTTTTGTGAACACAAATGCTAAGTATGCTATTAACTGATTAGTTAAAACTAAGAATGAAAAAAGAGTGAAGACTTAAGAATCAGGAATTAGTCAGTCTGTGGTGATGCCTCATATTGATCAATGCATTTTCAGGTGATGAAAACCAGTGAGAAGTGTGGATAATGCTGCAGTGGCTATGCATACACATAGAGTATAATCTTGGAAAATGAATCACTACCTTTTGCCATGCAGGTGAATCGGATGCCCTACTATGAGGCCTGTGTCCGAGACTCCTGTGGGTGTGACATTGGAGGGGACTGTCAGTGCATGTGTGACGCCATCGCAGTCTATGCCATGGCATGCTTGGAAAAAGGCATCTGCATTGACTGGAGGACCCCTGAGTTCTGTCGTGAGTTTCCTTAAGCTCTCCTTAAACAGGTTTAAGAGATTTTTATTGTCAGTATATTCATTTGGCAACATAGGAAACTTAGTAATAACTACCTCAAAGTCTGCATTTTGTCTGTGGGCGAAGAGTTAACCTCAGACACGTGGGTTTCGAAATCTGTACTTTACCAAAATATTTTAACTCTTTTTGCCATGGAGTAATGAGAGAGAAAATAATGTGGTCACAGAAAGCAGATTGTTTTCTTCTGCTATCAGTATATAGTGCACTGTGAGTTTGCCAGCAGAGAAAGCATGAAATTGTAAAAAAAATGTTTCATTTGAGCTATGATGAAATCAATTTCTGTGTGGATGTCAAGGGAATGTAGACAGCTGTGTTGGCTGGAACACTGTAAAACAGGAAAAGGACATCAAGGTGTTCCAAAACAGCAAATACAAAGGAAAAAAGAGGATGAACATGCTATAAATCAATGTTAGAGTTGTCATCTTTGATAGATTTCTTTCCACATTTCAATATATTGTGTATGAAAAGTTGTGGAAATGTCTGCATACTGTACTTGCAAAAAAGAAACTGACTTCCACAAATTAAAATACATATTTACATCACAAGCTAATCACTGCAGTGGGGTTTTTTTTTATTCCAACTGTTAACTAATTTTGTCTTCCTTCTAGTACTTTGGAAGTATCATGCCATTAATTTGAAAAAGAAAAATCTTCTCTCTTGCTTGTCCTTTTTTTAGCTGTCTATTGTGAGTATTACAATTCTCATAAAAGAAAAGGAATTGATGGTGCTTTTTCGTATGGCTACAACGATGACAAATGCACCTGGCACTACAGGCCTTGTAACTGTCCAAATCAAAACTACAAATACGTCAATATTGAAGGTAATAACCTCTACTACTGTAAACCAGGAAACAGTAACATAATTATTTTCAGTGCTGTTTTTTTTTTTTTAAATCAGTCATATTACAGTTAAATAATAATCTAATTGATGTTATTTTGGAAGAAGTTTTGCTGATATTTCCCTTACCAGTAGTGTTTTAAATACATAATCAACTCAGTAGATGTAGTATATTTAGCTTTATATCAGGCTCAGCCTGTTTGGAAGAGAAATTTTAACTTGCACCAAATCAAAAGAATGCACTGTACTTAGGAAAGAAAACATGGAGAGAGAAATTAATATTTTTATTAAACAAATGGATATAGCTGGAGAAACTAAAAAAAATCCTACATAGACAAAACCTCCTTCTGAGGATAACATTGGAAATACTTACCTGAATAGATGATGTTGAACTTTATACTATTTTTTAATAACATATATATAATATATTCAATTATAAATAGTGTAAATTAAATGCCTTTCTCTGAGAAATGTAAAACAAACTTCTCTTCCTCTTTCTTCAGGCTGTTACAACTGCTCTCATGATGAATACTTTGACCATGAAGAAGAAAGGTGCATGCCATGTGGTAAGCAGCATTTCTTTCTCCACAGTAACTTGAAAATCATACTACAACTTTTGCACAGACTCAGAGAAGATCTTTTTCTAGTATCTCTCCATAAATGAGTGTTCATCTAAACACAACTTCCTTTCAAAATAAACCCATTACTATTCTGCTTGTGAAATACAGTATTGATGTTCTAATCTGTGTGAGGCACGGGCCCAGCAGAGCTGTGAGTCTCAGAGGTATTCAACGCATTTCATAGAAAAAAAGGGAAATGTGTAGCAGAAAAGCAGATTTAGCTACTGGACTCAATAAATATCTTTCTAGATTTTTTTTTTTATTAACTTGAGGTTTATTACCATATGGCTTGTTTCCATGAAAACCTATCTTAATAAATAAGGTTTTGGATAGACTCTAGCTGGACAGTTTGGATTTTCATGCAGATGTAAAAAAACCTTAAAAATAAAATTCCCATTATAAAATTCTGTCTTGTGTAACCAGGATCTCAGCTAGTGATCTCCCTTGCATACAAAATCATGTTCCACTATCCCTGAAAACTGAGGTGCCCTTAGCCATAAAAGTCATAACAAAGATAGGAAAAACTTACTAGTGTTCATTATAATAATGAGATGTATTGATTTCTTTGTAAGTCCTTTGATGTGAATTTGACCACTGAAATATGTAAAATTAAATACATTCAGGAATACCTCAGTAATTAGCAGAATTCTTGGAATCCAATCAGAGGAGATTTGCCTTATCTGGGATATTTTAATATGTTTTTATTCACAAATATAACCTGTTTTGCCTTTATGTAACAGGACATGTAAATGTCACCACCACATCCGAACCATCTTCACCTTCTCCAGGTTAGTTTACACAGTTGACCAACTGTGTAACTTAGACACCGATATTATGTCCTGATAAGTGTTTATGAAATCAATAATGTCATTTTCTGTGTGATATAGCAGCATTATCAGTTTCACATGCATAAGATGAAATTATGAAAAATACCCTGGTACCATAATATCCTGGGCTGCATCAAAAGCTGCATAGCCAGCAGGGCAAGAGAGGGCCTCTGCTCTGGTGAGAGCCCACCTGGAATGCTCTGTCCAGCTCTGCAGTCTTTAATTCAAGAAAGACAAGAGGAGGGCCACAAAAATGACCAGAGGGCTGGAACACCTCTCCTGTGAGACAGAGCTGAGATCTGGGGTTGTTCAGCATGAGGAGGAGAAGGCTCCATGGAGACCTCTTTGTGGCTTTTCAATACTAGAATGGGGCTTATAAGAAAGATGGAGACAGACTTTTTAAGTAGGGCCTATTGTGATGGGACAAGGGGTAATGGTTTTAAATCAGAAGAGAATAAATTCTGATTAGATGTAAGGAAGAAATTGTTATGATGAGGCTGGAAAACACTGGAAGATGTTCCAGCCAGGAGGGACTGTTGAATCCCCTTACCCGGAAGCATTCAATTAAGGCTGGAGAGGCATTTGAGCAAGCTGATCTAGTTGAAGACATCTCTGCTCATTGTAGAGGGAGTGGATTCAATTATCTTTAATGGTCTAAGCCAGCCCAAGTCATTCAATGATTCCATGATGAAAAGGATCTCACATAATTTATGCCATATCTTACTAGGGAGTGGCCATATAACACTTCAACAATTGTAGAAAGTCTTGATGGAAATGTGTGACTGACTAAACCAAATCCCTATAGCCTGATACAGGAAAGGAATCTACATATCTTGATCTTAAATTTGTTAGAAATTCCATTAATTTCCCTGAAGACAGATGGTATTGGAAAACTTAATACTGTGGGTTGTGTGAATAATAAAATTATGGATACTATTTGGTACAGGGTTGGAATATTGTTCCATCTCTGCTGATACGAACAAGTGTTTATGCCAAATTCACTTTAAAGTAAAGAAAAAGGTATAAAGCATCTCCAAGAATACCTGTTTAATGTATTCACAGCACATAATAGCAAAGGAAGCAATGGATAACAGCTCTTCAAGGTTTAACCTAAAAGGTAATGGGTTTTAATAGTAGCTACTGCTAATAGCTATAAAAACACTTGTTTTACTTTAGAAAAATTCCATTAATATTGATATGTTATCAATAGATTATTGAGGACTATTTCTCATCTTTTAATTTTGATTTTTTTCTCTCAGTAACAACAGTGCAGCCTAAAGTAACAAGAAGCTCTACCACAAGCACACTTCTAACAGAACCCAGTACTTCTTCTGCAACAACTGCATCACCTGAGACTAGAAATCCAACAATAACTGCAAAAATTACAGTTCCAAGAACTTCACAACCTCTTGTCACAATAAAGTCAACTACTGGTAGGTTTTTAGTGTTATTGTCTAAAATAAATTATTATAAGCTTGTTCTAAACCTCTGTTCATTGTTGAGATACCATTCATAGGAATGCATTTCAAATTCACACAACATCCAAGCATTAGACTCCAAATCGTGAAGCAGGCAAAGCAAGCTTCCAGAAAGGAGTGTGTAAACTAGAAATGTTCAGAAGTGTAGATTGAAAGTGCAGAAAAAGATATAGGATATAGGCATTAGGTTAAAAATGCAACCAAAAAGTGAGTCATCTGAGAAACACAATTAGAAGTTCTATAAGCAGTGAACATAATAAAAGCCAATGGACAAAGCCCATATAGACTTTAGCCAAAGTGCCAACAAAGCTAACTACTTATATATTAAACAAATCTAATACAGAAAATGAGAACAAAGACAGACATGAGAAAATAGAAAAATATAAGCTCAGAAATATTTGGTAAGTTTATGAGAACATGAATACAACAATCATACTGAAAATATTTGAAAAATAAAAAATTATCTCTAAAATATGAATATCTTCTTTATAATTCATCTGGTTTTAATTTTTCTATTAATTGGTTATTCACATATTTTTACCTTTTACTCCAATAAGAACATACAACATCAATTTTTACCGCATCAAACACGACTACAACCATCACTATCCCTTCCGTGACCACCTCAGTGAAAAGAACCATGGCCACTACACCAAAGTCTGTTCCCTCACCACCTTCTGCCTCAACAAACACTGCTTCATCTGAGACAGAACAAGTAGGGGTCACCTCACCACCCTTCAAGACAACCACCAAAAGGGAAATGGCATCCTCCTCAATACCTACTCAAACCACAACTCGGAGCATAACTTTCAGCCAACCTAAACTAACAACAGCAGGTAAATAGCACTTTCTTACATCTGTCAGGTGAAGCCATCACTCACAAGGCATATGTCAATATACTCCTTATAAAAAAAGCCAAGCATTCTTACCAGTGGTCTTAACATTGCTAACAGAAAGGAAAGAACATGGATAAGAAGTGTGATTAAATTGGAAATTTGTCTAGCCAACAGAACAAGCATCTGACCTCCAAATATGATGTTAAAGCTAAGATTTCTCTTCCAACACTTCCTCCAAATTTAGACAAAATCTCTCTATGCCTCAAAGCAAGTTCTTTATAACTCACAGACCACAGAATATATATTCCCCCTACCCATTGTAAGAAATACTCCCACCAAAAATATTAACCTTTTTGAGTGTCTGACACTCAATAAACAAACAGGGATGGTCTCCTCTGAGGCTGTTTGACAAGATGAATTGCTACATTAGCAACTGACAGGCTGGGACAGTGTGTGGTGGGAAGTCTACTGTAGTGGGAGGGCAGCTGTACACTGTGTTTCCCAAATCCAGGTCTCTCCCACAAAGTACTGTTGGGATGCATATATTTGGGTTTTCTTGTGCAAGCAATTACAGCTTCCTCTAGGAAGCTCACCAGCTCCCAGCCATTACTAATATTCATTATTTCACCACAGAGAGTGAGGGAACCGAAGCAACCACTCTGCACTACCCAGAAGGTGAGTAAAAGGGACTAGAGAGATGCCCTTGGCCTAAGACTCTGCTTCACTCAGCTTTTACAAATGATGGTCTTGCCCAGTTTGGAATACTTGGGGAAGGGAAACATGTGCATCCAAACAAGACTCTTCTTTCCTCAGGAGCTTCAGAAAAAGGCAGGGAGTGTCACATTGTCCGAGGCACCCTTCAGACCCACTCTCGATCAACTTGTGCTTTTCTCTCTGCAGTTGTCACCCGCGTAAGAACAACACTGACACATCCTGCGCAGCATCTTATGACACAGACACAGACCACCCCTGCCACATCCACCAGCAGCACCTCCGTCCCAGGAGAGACTAGCCCTGCCACCAGCCCAGAAGTTCCAGTGACAAAGATATTTCCAAGCTCCAGCTCTTTGCCTGTCACTTCAGTCTCATCTGCTTTTTCCCTCTCCTCAACCCAGCTGGGAACGTCATATTCTGGTAAGGCTCCCTCCTGCCCTTCTTGCTGCTCTGCCTGCTTTTTCCAGCTCCCACCCTTCTCTTCTAAGAAGCACGTCCCACAAAGGCTTCAGTTTTGGTACTTGTTCTCAATTCCCCCTGCTATTGCCACAGGACACCAGCAGGTCCTGGGCCTGACCCACATGTGATGCTGACTGTATCCTTCTCCCTGCAACTTCAGGGCTTTGGCTCTGGGGCAGTGGTCTCTATTGAGGGTTCAGGCATCCATGAGTTCCTGCCCTATAGCTACCAATCAGATACAAGCTGAAACACCTCTCTCTTCTTACAGTGCTGCCCTGAGAATGCACAGTGGGGCAGTGGTGAACAAAAGGCAGGGAAACTGGAAACACATCTCCAATTTCCAGCTCAGGATAGTTTTGAGTGAGAGGCATAACCCAAGGCATCATCTCCAGCCAAAGAATGCCTAGGCCCTGGCATATCCATGAAAAGTGCCATTCAACAAATATGACTTCATGGACCAATGCTGACACCAAGTGCAAGAGTCACCAGTAGAGGGTGGGCAAGAAGGTGTGCACTCAACTCCAGGCTGAAGTTCTTTCACTTAGACCCACATGCCAGATTTGTATTAGTGTTGACCTCCTTTGGGGAGATGCCACAACATGCTTTGCCTAGAATCTTTCCCAAGACTCAATCATTCTTTTCTCTCATCCCTTTCTTTGTAGCAAGGGAGCCAACCAGAGCTAAGACACCAACTACTAAAGTAGTAACAGGTGAGTGCTCTGGTCATGAAGGAGATGAGAGTCATCCCGGCCAATGCATCCATATCCCTTCAGTAGCCAGCTCTCCCATGGATCTCTCCCAGACAAGTCTGCAGCAAGCCAGTTTTAAACTACCAGTAAATAAGTGCTACCACTTCCCCACTCAGCTGTTCCAGGAAGAAGGAGATGAGATAAATTGCTAGAGGTCAACCTTCAAAACAGTCAACAGCAAGGACTTACGAAAGAGAAGCAGGACAGGATGGAACATATTTAGGATAATGGGCACCATTAGAAACTGAAAAAAGAAACCAAGCCCAAACCCAAAACCAACTAGATTTAGTGGGAGCTAGGACTCCCATGCTGGGCCAAGACTGAGCACAATACCTCCAAAACAGAAGAGTCAATATCACCCAACTAACCATAAGCCAGCAACGTATGACTGACCTGTGCTTCCCTCCTGGCAGCCTTCACCCATGAAAAGTCAAACTGTGTCCTCAACATGGATCAGCTCCCCACAGCCAGGTGAGGCTCCTTTCTGAACTCCATTTTTGATTCTTTCTGTCCAGCCACACAGGCTGCATGCAGAGTTGTTTTAGTTTTTGCACTCGGTCCCCTATGTTTATACATTGGAACACTGGTATGGCCTTATTTAGTTAGGCTCTGGGACACTGATCTCGCCCATGGAGGCAGAGCTGCCAGTCTCAGAGGGGACTGTCCTTAAGCCCTGACTGTTCCTTGAAGGGACACATGCATATCCAGACAGGGTCCTCTTCTAGGAACAGGTAGTGGGATGTTGCCTGTTGGAAGGCACTGTATCCATTTCCTCCCTTTTTAAGACAGAAACCAGACAGCTTTAGACAGGACCCACAGTCTCAGTGCTTCCTTTTTCCCAGGGAATACTCAGTACAGCACAGCCCTGCTGTTTTTGTTTATATCCTAATTCTCAGGCAGCTAACCACCTCCATTTCCAGCTTTTGCTGTGCTCATCCTCAAAAGCTCTGTGCTTTACTTCCAGCAGCCTTCACCCATGAACAGTCAACTGCTCACAGCCTGGTAAGGCTCCCTCCTACTCGTCCTGGTACTTCCTTCTCCTCTCCCTCTTCCACTCATCCTTTCCAGCCACACAGGTTCTTGGCAGAATTGTTTTAGTTATTGCTCTGCACAACCTTTATTTCTGCATTGGAACAGAGGTATGGCATTAGTTTGTTATGGCTCTGGGGCACTGGTTTCTGCCATGTAGTCCTGGCCTGCCAATCTCAGAGGGGCACTCTCCTTAAGCTCTGCCTACTCCTTGAAGGGACAGACACATGCATATTCACACAGGGTCCTCTTCCAGGACGAGGTAGTTGGATCTTGCCTGTTGGAAGGCACTGTTTCATTTCCTCGGTGTTTCTGAAAGAATCCAGACAGCACCTTGTAGACAGGGCCCACAGTGGAGGTGTTCCCTTGTTCCCACGAATACTCAGTAGGGCACAGCATTGCTGTTTTTGTTACCATCAGCAATCTAAGGCTTCTGAATATAAACTTTTTTTTTTCTTGTCCTCATCCTCAACTGACCTCTGCTTTCTTCCTGGCAGCCTTCACCCATAAAATGTTTACCATGCCACATGCTATGACACCTGTGACCACACACAAGACCTCGGCTGCCACATCCATCAGCAGCACCTCCAGGACCTCTGTCTCCACAGGAGCCAACCCTCCAAGCAGCACAGAAGTGCCTCTGGAAACAGCCTCTCCACATCCCAGCTCTCCACCTGCTCCCAGCAGCCCGCTCAGCACCCGGCTGCCATCCACTGCCACCACTTCCACAGCCGCCTCCACAGCAGCTCCCAGCACCAGCCCCAGGCCCACACCTACAACCCTGAGGCCCAAGGCCTCTTCCCCAACAACCAGTGCTGCAAAGGAGTCTCCTGTCACAGAGTCCTCTGCACCCACCACAGCCAAAACCAGCACGCTGCCATGGCCTGCTTCTTCTCCCTTCTCAACTGTGTCCTCAACATGGCTCAGCTCCTCACAGCCTGGTAAGGCTCCCTCCTATCCATCCTGGTACTTCCTGCTGCTCTCCCTTTTCCTCCCTTCATTTCTGTCAGAGCAGGTTGCTTGCATGTTTTTTTTTATTTTTTGCTCTCCATTCCCATTTCTTTTTGCACCAGCACGGTGGTATAACAATTTTTCATTATGGGCCTGGGAAAAGGTCACTCCCATTTAGCCCAGCCTGCCAGTCTTGGATGGGCAGTCCTTACACACTTCCTATTCCTTGAAAGGACATTAACATTCAGAAAGAGCTATCTTCCAGGAAGAGTGATCATGCCCCTAGGAGGGCACCCTGTCCATTTCATGCCATTCAAGGGGTATGTAAAGAGCAGCTTCTGGACAGGATGCAGTCCTGGTTCTCCCTCAGACTTGGGAATACTCACTGCAGTACAGGAATTCTGATTTTCTTTGTGCTCACAATCTGAAGATTCAATCAACCATCTTTGGTTTCCCCTTCTGCCCTCATCGATGACTGACTTGTTTTCCTCCTGGCAGCCTTCACCCATGAACAGTCAACTGTGCCACACATTGGGCCACCTGTGACCACACACAAGACCTCGGCTGCCACATCCATCAGCAGCACCTCCAGGACCTCTGTCTCCACAGGAGCCAGCCCACCGATCAGCACAGAAGTGCCTCTGGAAGCAGCCTCTGCACATCCCAGCTCTGCATCTGCCCCCAGCAGCCCGCTCAGCACCCGGCTGCCATCCACTGCCACCACTTCCACAGCTGCCTCCACAGCAGTTCCCAGCACCAGCCCCAGGCCCACACCTACAACCCTGAGGCCCAAGGCCTCTTCCCCAACAACCAGTGCTGCAAAGGAGTCTCCTGTCACAGAGTCCTCTGCACCCACCATAGCCAAAACCAGCACGCTGCCATGGCCTGCTTCTTCTCCCTCCTCAACTGTGTCCTCAACAAGGCTCAGCTCCTCACAGCCTGGTAAGGCTCTCTCTTACCTGTCCTGCTACTTCTGCCTGCTCTCCCTTTTCTCTTTCATTTTACCAATGCAGACCACTTGCACATTTTCTTTAACATTGCTCTCCATTCCCACTTCTTTTTGAATCAGCAGTGTAATGTGGTTTTCATTTGGTGTCACCCTTGGGCTCCAGTCACTCCTACACTGGCCACCATGTCAGTTCTGAAGTGGGCAAACTTTAATGTGCTCCTTCTCCTTGGGAGACTTGCGCATCCACACAGGGTCCGCTTCCAGAAAGAGGAAGAGGCATCATGCCTGTATGAAAGCAGCATGTCATTTTCCTCCCTTTTTATGGGAAAAAAGAGGGCAGGTATAGGGCGGAGCCCTTGGTCTCACCTCCCTCTTTCTGATAAATACTCAGTGCAGCATGTTGAAGTTGTTGATGTTTGTGCTCCCAGTCCAGTGCTACAGCGACCACATTTGCCTTTTCCTTATGCCTTCCCTCATCCTCATGGGCATGGGGTGGTCACAAGTCCATCAGGGACACAGCAGCATGGCTGGCCCAAAGCCAGTGTCCAGGGAAGACACTGCATACCACAGAATATCAGGCTGAGCTGTACAGTGGGAGTGTAGGGCATTTACTGCCAAGTAGCTATTGCTTGGAGACTGACTGGAAATTGGCAAGCGTGCAGTTTGGTGAGTGAGTGCCTTTGCATCTCGCAGGTGGATCCTCATTTGGTTTTTAATTTCTTCATTTCTGAAAAGTGTCTCTCTCTGGACATGTGTGTGTGTTCCTGCTTTGGCTTTTCTGATTCTCTTCTCGTATCTGAGCATGGGGAGATAAGAAGTGTCCAGGTGAGCATCCTCAATTTTACCTGTGCCTTCCTCCTGGCAGCCTTCACCCATGAAAAGTCAACTGTGCCGCACATTGCACCGCCTGTGACCATGTACCAGACCACAGCCACCACCTCCATCAGCAGCACCTCCAAGACCTCTGTATCAATGGAAGTGCCTCTGGAAACCTCTCCAAATCCCAGCTCCCTGCCTGCCCCCAGCAGCCCGCTCAGCACCCAGCTACCGTCCACTGCCACGTCTCCATTCTCTTCTGTTTTGGCCTCAACTGTCAGCACAATGTCTGTGCCTACATCCCTGACTACTTCCACATTTAGGTCTGCTGAGAGCACTACACATCCTTACTTCCAAAACACCACATCTACTCCACATGGCAAAACATCTTCATTAGCTGTTCCTACCAGTATCGCTGCCCAGTCTAGGCCAGCACTGATCCCCACTGTTTTGTCTACAACTATTGCCTTTGCTCCCCATGTTCTCACGACGGCTTCTACAGAGTCAGTTGAACAGAGTTCCTTGCGAACAACAACTCTGACCACTGCCCACACGACATCATCTCCTCTCACCCCTGGACTTTCAACATCCCTGTCCTCTGTTGTGCCATCAACGGTGCCACATGGTAATGTATCTCCATATTATTTCCTTTATCATGGATTTGCTTTGAATGCATTTTTTTTTTTAATGAGTGTATGAATTATCCTTTGGCTATGATCCTGTTTGTACCCATTGGCTCCATCTTTTCTTTTTGCCCTTTCTGCAGTTACTTTTCTAAAGCTATTGTCTGACATCTTAGATTCATACAGATTCCCTGCTATTCAATATTTTAAACATTAAGAAGTGTGAGTTAAAAAGTCTGACAGGATGCACTTCAGGAGAGCCACAGACCCTTCATTCTGTCATCTTAAAAAGCAGAAACTTCTTATTGGAACAGGCTATCCCTTCATTACCCTGCAGCCTTCCTGTTAGCTCAAACATGCTTTGGGCGTATAGATACAGCATCTTAGTCTACTGCCCAGTTAATAGTTGTCTCAGTTTCCAATAAAAAAATCCCAAAGTCATACTACAGCATTAACTGAGCCTTCCCTGCAATAATGTTCAATAATCTATAACCTTTCTCTCAACAGGGGACCTGACTGTGCTTAAAAGATCATTGTGCAGGATCAGGTGTGAGCGGTGTATGAACTGCCTTCATAGTTTTCAACATCTTTGTCTCCTTAATACAAACTTCAAACACCATCTTTGAACTCCTTGGAAAACTTGTGTTTTCAGTCAGATTTCTGCTTCATAAAGTGCTTAGTGTGGTGCTTCAAGGCAGGGGAAAATATAACACTGACACACAGAATTGTTACCTAACATGTAGCATTACACATTCTCCCTAGCAAGGCAAGTTGTGAACTTCTGTCTACCTATAAATATATCCTTAAAATGAGTAAATTAAGCAATTTTCAAGTAAGTAAAGTCTGTGAACGAGAAATCTACCAGAATGAGCCAATGGTTGGCCCCTTTGCATATTTGTGTTCTCAGCATAGGATTAGTTTTTCCATGCTGAACTGAATGTGTACTATATTCTTAACAGGATTTTTTTTGCTCGTTTGTAATTCCAACAACTTCTGTTTTCTTAAAAAAGAACTTTATTCTATTCTTTTGTTGTCCTCCAGGGTAAGCCTCTCCTGAAACTTTAATGCCCAGTTTCAAACCTTCTCTTACTGTGTAACTCAGTTGTGACTTGTTAATTATCTCATGCAGTAAGAATGGTTTTCCAGGAAACCAAATATGGAGGCTTTGGGCATCTAACAAAAGTCACTCAAGAAGACCAAGATGAATTATAGCAGAAATTTTTTTTCTTTTTACATTTGACAGAGCGTTGTACAGAAGTTGAATATGAAGAAGAAATAACTTACAAAGGCTGTTCCACAAATGTCACTTTGAGCCGATGTGAAGGAACATGTCCCTCTTCAACAAAGTAAGGATAACTGAGGCTGTAAAGTACTAAAGTTGTTTTCCTTATTTGGTCATCTGTAAGTAGGGAAATTTATGAACTATGCCTTTATAATTCAGGGAGGAAAATGTAGTTAGTATCCACCCAGCAATATACAATGTCACTGTATAAAGCAGTTAATAGCAACAATAAGGTCATTAATTACACAGGGATTTACATCTAATCAAGGAAGGTCATCTCACTTCCTTAGGTTTTTGTTGTTTTGTTTTTTAAAAAAGCCAGACATCAGTGTTCCAGGTTTGGAGGTTATTTTGTTGTTTTGATGGTTGGGGTTTTGGTTTTGTTTGTTTTTTAAAGACTGAAAAAGTGGTTTAGACTATAAATACCTATTTCAAATAGCTAAGACAGTAAAATAAGAAATTTCATCTAAGGTAACTAATGCCACTTCAGTTGTCTCATAACATGCTCCTAATAGTGTAATTGAGGTATATTTTATAATCACAAGGGTACTGTGTGAGCCTGTGCAGTTCTGCTGCCCATTAGGACTGACAGGAAATCAAGGTTTCAATACAAGTAAACAGTGCAGCAGTATTAGAGTTCAGTTATTGGGGGGGGAAAGTTACATTCCCAACAATCCAAGCCAATACAATGTTCAAGAATGGAAAACAGTGAAGGGTTCTGCTTTTGCAGGAACTAATTTAAATTAATCCTTATGCTAAAAATTGTCCCCTTCAAAGCATATTCAGGTGTCCCCCAGCATTTTGAAAACTGAGTCAGTGACAAAATCAGTCATCCTGAGGGTTGAAAAAAAGGGCTGTGAAACCTGGAGGAAGACTTGGAGTGTTAAGGTTTGTCTCAGTTGCTAAGAAAGTTGTGGTTAAAACCCAGTTTTAACTGAAACCAAGAAAACTTTTCTCCGCCTCAAAAGACAGTTTTCCAAAAATATTTTTTTCCTTAACTCTCTTTTTTCCATACCTGAGTTCTGGCCTGTTATCATACAGTTTCCCCCTGACAAAGAGAAAGGCAGAACCAAGGCCAGCAGGAGGCTGAACACAGTCAGGAATCAACAGCCTGGGAACTGCAGTACTATAAGGACAGACTCAAATCCTTACCTGCCTATTCAAGCTCTCACTTCACCTACCTGTGCTGTGAATTCAGCAATTATGTGCAAGTCTTCTACCTTGTTAGCTGACCTCACATCCAGAACTGGCATCATACAGCCACCACCTCAGATTCCAGCCTAACTGTGCAGAGGGAGAAAGGGGTTTTCCTTGATCTGTGAACTGCAAAAGGAACACACACAATTCAGCATCTGCCAAAGAGACCTTTTGTAAACTCTAAGTAGTCCTGTGTGCAGGTTCAACAAATTTAATCCCTGGGTACTTTACAAATATTCAGAAGGCCAAAAAGAGACCAGGGGAATCCAATTCGTTTTGCAGTGAGGTCTGAGGCCTAACAGATGATGAGATAATAGAATCACAGACTATCCTGAGCTGGAAAGGACCCACAAGGATCATCGAGTCCATCCTGTTCTAAAATGGAAGGCAGCAGCTGAGCACACCAGAGTTTTTGCCTCATGAGAACTTAAAATGGAGTCATTTTCCACATTATTTGTAGTCCTGCACTTGACAGAACCATTCAACTGATGGCTGTGCTCTTTCCTCTAAACCTCTCACCATAGGAAAAAAAGAAGTTCCTATACTTGAAAGGCTGTGAGCCTAAAATGCTGTAAACAAATGCCAACTGATTATCCCTCTCTTCCACACAGGCTGGATGTTGAGAAGATGGCGGTCACCACAGCATGTGGCTGCTGTAGGCCACTTGAACTTCTTAAGAAGCAATTCCAACTGCCATGCCAAGACCCAGATAACCCTGGAAGAAGGCTCACCACAGAAATAATTGCATTTAGTGGCTGTGTGTGTAACTTTGACAGTTGCACACACTAGCCAGACCTGATGGCTGCAGATACCATTTTTTGTAATTAAACCCTGATCACAAGTTAATCCTTCCACAGCTCATTGCTGGGTTCTCTTGTACTGATTACACAGGACAGCCTTGCTGTCAGGCTGCCTGAGCAGCTGCCTGGACTACCAGTGGAGTTACCAGATAAATCATTCCTGATCAGAAGGGTGGGGTGCACAGGAGGAAAGAAAGAACAGACACACAAATAAAGAACAGGATCAGGGGATCAGGAGGAAAGACAAGAAACTGCTTGGCCTTGCTCAGGGGTGATTTATTCAACCAGAGGCTAAAACCTGGCCCAGGCACTGGGCAGTAACACAAATTCTATGTTCAAATAAAGTAGAAGGAACTGAATTTGCTATCTTCTTTCTCCTTATTTGACCAATTATTTTAACTGAAAAATAATCTATTAGGTTCACTATAGTCAACTTGGCCCTGGAACAGCCCAGTACTTGAGTGGGAGAAGGGAAGTGACCTGTTCCCTGCCTTTGAAGGTGGACACAGCATGTGTGCTCATCATCCACAGATGACAGGGTTGGAAAGCAAGGTGCTACATGACCCAAAAGTGAATGGTGAGGTTTCCACAAGCACCCTTAGTGTCATGGGACATTTCTAGAAAGGTAACTAACACACATGTAGAGCAGCTTCGGGATAAAGCAGGAAGCTGAAGGCATTTCTCTGCAAGAAATCAAAGCCCACGGGCATCTAACAGGATACAAGCGGTTCACTCACAAGCAATTTCTACTTGCTACCACGCTAGACAATCTTTACTTTGTTGGCAAGTCATTTAAGAAAAAGCTGTAGGATTGCAGAAAAGCTCAGAGTGCCCTTTTCCCCTTTTAGCAAGTATAAGAGAAGAACCTGAAGCATACATTTAAAGCTTAAATGAGGTTATTTAGCAGTTTAGACTACTCTTCTTCTACAGTGCCATCAACCTTGCATCCAATACAAGTGTGTACTGCTTACCCTCAACCCTACCCCACTTTTAGAGCAGTATACTGCAGCAAGCACTGCTCATGTACTTACTGTGGTTGAACACTCTAGGGAGAAACATTTTACACCTGGGGCTTGTTAAAGATAGAGTATTTATAACTTGTAACCAAACAAGAACAAAATCAAACTCACTCACTGGGGGAGCAGAAATCCATAGACCGTGTAAGACTCCTGTGAACAAACCCACCAGTACTTCTCATAAAAGAATCACAGCAATTGTGTTCCACAACAACCATTCCATGAGAATATTTTTTATGCCTTTATTCCCCCAGACAAAAAAAAGGACAGTTTCATCACTGTTCTAATCATTTATTTAATCTTAATATGTTCTTCTGATGAATATAGTCTAATATATAGTCTTCTATATGAAAATTCTCCACTTAATTTGACAGAACTTTGTTTTATACAAATAAGACAATCACCATAAATGTTACATACTGGAGTGTAGGTCAAGAATGAACATATGCTACCTGTTTTGCTATTCAGTTATTTTCACATGTCAATGCCTGAAAATACTGCACTTAAAAACAATAACACTGTTTACTGCAGAAATTACGTTGTCTGCTTGACAGGATACATCACTGGTAAGTTAACCATCATTCACAAAAAAAAAAAAAAAAATCAAGTATTTGTCTTTAATTTGTTCACTTTTCTGCTCATGGCTTCATTGAGCTGACATTTAATACAAAGAGTGAACAGTCATAAGCTTAACACAGTCACCACTGAAAAGACACTTTCCCTTACCCCCCCCCTCCTTCCCACATTTTAATGCACATTTTAGCACAGCTTGAACCAAAGCAAAGTGAAATAAAGTAGTGCAGTGTCTCAAGGTGTCCTTTAATGAGGGCACAGAACATTTTTCAGGGGGACAGATATACAACAGGATTTGGAAAATACAAAAAGAGAACCTCCTCCTCTGTCTTTGCTAAGACTCCGTTTAGTTCAGCATATCAGATTTTAACAGAGCAGCCAAGAGCATGGTTAACATAACAGGACTAAATAATGAGACACAGAACATCGTGAAGCCAAAACGAAAGGTATTCCATCAGTATTTGCCAACTGCCCAACCTGACCGCAGGAACCACTCACCAAGAGTTTCAGTGACAATATTTATGATTAAAGAGTCTTAAGTAAGAAGAATTTGAGAGGCCTTAAAGGGGCCAATTGTTCAAGAGAATTTCTGCAGAAAGACCAGGCCTTTTAGCCTAGTTTTCAGCCTTAATATCCATAGTTACCAGCCATTTCTGGAAAAACAAAACACATCCCCCAAAATCCACACATCACAGCCAAATCTTTGTTCCTCATTTTTCACTTTTACTCAAGTACGATCAGGAGCCTTCAGCCAAACCAAGTGATAATCTCCCAGTTCCATCATTTAAGCTCAAAGCACTGAAGACAAAAAGCAAGGCACACTCAATCATGGAGAATCCTGTCCCCTGCTGAGCATGGGCAGCATGACAGCAGCCTCATTTAAATGTATTTTCAGTATCACCACCATGACTCAACACCTTCATTTCCTGGGCACATTTGTCTGTATGTGTTGTGACACGGCAGTCCCAAGCTTCCTTTCAGTGACCATGAGGAAATCTTGACCTGAGGTTCCCTTCTCCTGTCAACAGGAGCTGATTTTGTTCACCATGATCTGCAGCTCTTGCTGACACCAGCCCAGGGTTTCTAACTGGGCCACCTCACCTGCTTTGGTTTAGCAGCTTCTGTTGCACCTCAAGGCTTGAGGAGCGTGAGCCAAAGTTTCTGTCCACTGACTTCTGAAGAGAGGGTGCAAAGAGTTTGATGTGAAACAAGGTACAAAGACTTCAGCTATAAAAACCTCTAGAAAAGCTGAACACTTTTGGGTTTTCTACTTTCAGTTTCAAGAGAAGTTTTCCATACCATGTTGGACATTTTTACCACTGATGGAAAGGAAACTGCTTAGGTATCAGTTATTCAACCTCTCGAGTCTGAACATTAATGTACACTGGGGAAAAGATATTGATTAAAATTACATTTTCACCTAAGTGCATGCCTTACAGCCCTTCAAGGGCCCATTTCGTCCCACTTCTTTTATACAATACTAGTTTCTGAAGTTAATTGTATCATGTCATTAGGATATTACTTGTGAAGTCTGATGGCAAACAGAAAAAACACAGAACAGAATATTTAACTTCATTGAGAAACAACAAACAAGTATATACTCATTCACCCCCTACCAGAGAAGCTCACCTCATTAATGGAGATAAGCAGGAGGATTAAGAATAGCTTTTGTGTTCAATCTAAAGATCAGAAAACATTGGGATGTAAAATATTACAAGATTAATACTTTTAAGACTCTGGTCCTGTGGCATTTTTCAAATACAAAGACTGGTGACACAACATAAATGTTCACTTTAATCAGATTGAAACACATCTTCAAATCTGCCCTTCCATCCAGCAGACAACTTGTGGCAATGTTCAACTTGACAAAGTTTTGACTCTACATTAGCATGGAAATTAACCTTCCTGAGCAGCAGTACACTGGATTCTTTCAGCTAAGAGCAGAGGCAGTATCTCTTAAAGGTACTGAAGCAGAAGGTTTTTGAGCTATTTTCAGCTGAAATCCTTGATTGCCACAACTAAAACCATTTCCCTTCAACAAGTTTAAAAGCCTGACCTCTGCAAAAAAAGGAGCAAAAGACAGCCCTCCCACCCTTTATGTAACACACTAAAAGCCATTTGTAATGGAAAAAGTCACTTCCCTGTACTGTACATTTTATAGTCTTAATTTCAAACAAGGGTCAAGTCCTATTAAGGCAGGGAGCTGGTATTGGTTAACATTGCAGTACTCAGACAGTGATGTACAAGACATTTATTTGCAGTATGATGACAGTGATATAAGTGGAAAAACCAAAACTGACATGGTTAATATTAAAACTGTTCTGACAGCAATTCACATAATCTCTGAGATACAGCTTCTTTACTTGTTCGTAGTGTGAGCCTATACATCTGAAAAAGAACATAAAATACAATTTAAACAGTTTGGCATTAAAGGAATGCACAGTCAACAGTGAAAACTAAGTTACCTCTTACTTGCTTTGTAAGCATTGTTAGGAAAAAGATCTCAAACTAAAACACTCAGAGGCAGCAAGCCACTGAGCAACAGCTTTTTCAAACCACTGGCTGAACCAACCCAATTTTCAAACCCTTGTTGAGAATTACTGTTACTCAAGTATTTTTGGGCTTTAATAGAAAGGTGTTGTCCAGAATATCTGTTAAAGAGGAACAAATGCTGTGGAAAAGTATACAGACCCTGTAAAACCACTTTATTCAGGAAACAGAAGACAACCACCAAAACCCTATTTTTAATCCTCAGTTAATTTTGGTAACACCTCTGTCAAGAAAGCTTTAGTAAAAATACTTCTAACATTGTAGTTGCTTGCTTATGCTTTCCTCTTTTAGCCAATTACTCTTTTAATCATTTAAAGTAGCAAAAGAAAGCATACTTAATCTGGTCCAAAGTGCACAAGACAGTCTGGAATATTACAACGATCTCTTCCAAGAGGAAAAGATAATTGCTCTGAAGAAGCATCTTACCCAGCTGGGCCAGAACCAGCTGCTACACTTCAATTTCTTGTTGGAGTCTGCAGTCATAAGCAGCTATTGCAATAGTGATTTTAAAATATCTTAAAGGAATTTCAGATACACAGAAATATTTAGTTCAAATGAGAACTTGCATCTAAGCTGGAGATAGTTACACAGATACCTGTGCCTGGAGGTTGGGTTCAAGGCGCAGCAAGCATCCAATCTGAGTGGTTTTTGTGTGTATGATACCAGCACCAACAAAGTTAGCAGGATTCGGATCTACCTCCTCAAGCAGGGCTGATCCAAATCCAATTATCTGTGAAAGAAACCAAGAAGATTTAGATGTGGGGAGAGGAGGACACAAATACCAAGTATACCAAAACAGTCACCATCAAATAGCAAAACAAGGAGGAAACTAGCTTTGAAATCTTCTAGA